CAGCAGAGCTTGTGGGAGGAGCAAACGCTGTGCATTCATCCTCAGCCAATGGCGTAGCCCGGTTGACGTGGTTTGGCTTTAGCCATCCGCCCCTTCGTGACATCACAGCTGTTGCTCGGGCACGGGCAGTGAGAGTGCAGTGCACTAGGCGTAGGGACGACGAGCAGTGCATGCATTCATTTAGGGAGGGGGGCTAGAGAAAGGGAAGGGGATCTGTTGTGCTATTCAGCCACCAGGCCCTGCTGAAATCTCACAAAACTACAATGGAACCTGCCTGAGAAGCATAAACTCTGCTTTTTCGTGTAAGTGTGCTTCCTCTTTAACCCTAGTGCGTTTGCGTTTGAGTGTTGCAGTGTGCACGTGAACGGTTGTCATTGTTTTGTGCGTGTTCACTGGAGCAGAAAGAGCTGTGGCTTTGAAAGGGAAGAATGCTTTTGTTTCTGTCTCCTGTTTCACATCTGGTCAGAGTTGGTCTGAGGTTTTGGAACCTTCTAGTGCTTCACTCTGTGTCATGTTGTTCCCACCTTTACTGCCTATGATCTTACTAAGGTTTGAAGAGACCCTCATGTGGGAGAGCAGTTAGAATGTGTTTTGGGGCAAATATCATTTTTTTATAACTATAGTTTTGGATGTCTAAGTCATGAGTTTTGCATCCCATGGAATGTTTGTGGATGTCAGAAGCAGCTGTGTTTGAAAGGTGTATGTGCCATGCACACAGTGACGTGTGGGAGTGCATGTGGGATAATTTTGTAAGTGGCGGCATGATACAATTGCTGATTGTTGTTGGCTTCTTTTTTTGAACAATGACACAGTGTTTGGTTTCTCGATTGTGGCTGTATCTGGGTCAGGTTTGCTGACCGGTGGCTTGGACCATAAGATCTTGTAGATATTGTTTTATTGGAACAGGTGGAGTTATGCCAGTCAGCATTTAGAGCAAAACACTTTGTTTTGGTTGGCATGCATGTGGGTCAGTGACATAACACTCTTGTATATAGTTTTTTTAAATATAAATATTTTTAATAAAAATATATATTGTGAAGTTTATACATACTTGAATTACTTAAATAAACCCCTTTTATAATAAGACTATTTTTTTAAATGCAGCGTTAAAAGTCTTTTACATAAAAAGTCTTTTACATATATATATATATAGTGTTTAAAAAAAAAAGTTATTAAATATATTTTTAGATGGGGGATATATATATATATATATATATATCCCCCATCTAAAAATATATTTAAAAACTTTTTTTTTTAAACAATATATATATATATATATATATATATATATATATATATATATATATATATATATATATATATATATATATATATATTATTAGGATGATATAACAGTCCTGATATTCTAATTAAGAAAAAAACATAAAAGTAAAACCCTTAAGTAGTTTGGCTATTATTAGTTTACTATATGCAGTGTGTATAATAAAACTGCTTAATTGATTTTTAATATTTAAATTTTTTTGCCTGCCAAATCAAAATCATGAGGTCCAACCAAAATGCAGAAAAAACTTAAAAAGGAAATGAGGACCCCTGCAGACCCTCATGTCGTGAGCTTAGAATTATAAGGTCTCCACTTTTGGTCGAAATTGAGTTTTTGACATAATCTAATCTTATCCATTAGGTGTTTATTAATGCCTGTTTGGTGTTATTTTTGTAAAAAAAAAAAAAATTGTTAGTAGTTATTAATAAAATAAAAAGGTTCCATCTCACAAAACACCAGGTAAAAACTTTGTAAAAACTTTGATGCTCAATATCTCAGAACTACCCTAAACGGAGATAGAACTGTATAATTCTAAGCTCACGATGTGTTAGGGTCAATAAGTTACTAATGGCTGACTAACGACTAACTGACTAATGGTCATGTTAGTCGTTAGTCAACATGTTATATATATATTTTAAAAAAAGATGCTGAAAATAATAATGTGAGTACTAATGTGACGTGTATACTCGCATGTATGCAGATCAGTTTTTCAAAAGATTTTTATTAGGGCTGTCAAACGATTAATCACGATTAATCGCATCCTAAATAAAAGTTTGTGTTTACATAATATATGTGTGTGTACTGTGTATAATTATTTTGTATATAAATGCACACATGTATCAAGAAAAATGTAATTTATATATAAAATGTTTATATTTATATAAAATATACATTATATAGGCTACATTCAGTCTATATACAGTATATATACATGCAAATATTTCTTACAGTTTTTTACAATCATTTTGTTACTATTTTCAGAACCTTGATGTCATTTTTCACAACTCTAGACACAAAACTCACAACCAATGATCAAAATGCACATTTTTCAAAACTCTATACCCTTTTCTCAATTGCTTGGATACAATACACATAAAACTTAGATCATTTGTTCATTTAACAAAAATCACCTGTTCAATATGACTCAACTTAACATCACAGTACTACTATTTCAAAAGGCAATTCACACATTACATTTCAAATGAGTGTCTATTCATTTCCTTACAATGATCTAACTATCAATTGATACAACCGCTCAAAATGATAAGTAACTGTTGCATTACTCTTAATGCATAGTTGTATGGAAACAGACACACAATCTTCCATGTTTACAGTAAATCATGACAGTTTCAAGATAACGTGATTCGGGGAGGAGGATTTTAGAAGGCGGGAGAAGGGAACTAATATCAGCTATGTTTACCCCTCTCACGTTACCATCACTCATACGTCCATCAGAGCAGTGCACATGTCAGTCCTGTAGAAGTATCAGAGCAACTCTGGGACCAGAGGCATTGAAGTAAACTGAGAGCAAAACACTCACTGTCAAAACATGACAGAGAGCAGAAGTGAGAGACTGAAAGAGTGATAATGAAACACTGGCCTGCAAACTGATCAGACAGAGAGACTTTCCTGAATTAAGGCCTTATTTTATGCTTTAATATGAGGTATGAATATTGCATCTTATTTGTATGGGAGAGTGTGTTAAGATGCGTCGCCCCTTAAAGGGCTAGTTCACCCAAAAAAAAAAAAAAAATTTCATTACTTAATACTTACTCACCACCCTCATGTCGTTCCAAACCCGTAAGACTTTCGTTAATATTCAAAACACAAATGAAGATCTTTTTGATGAAATCTGAGATATTTCTGTCCCTCCATTGACAGTTTATGCAACTACCACTTTGTCACTTTAAAAAGTTAATTTAGTTACTCCCAATTTTCTGAAGAGACTGGATCGTTTTAGTATATGATGAACAGATTTAATTTAGGCTTTTATTAGGCTTTTTGAAGCATCAAAGTAGTAGTTGCGTGGCTGTCAATGGAGGGACAGAAAGCTCTGATTTCATTCAAATATCTTCATTTGTGTTTCGAAGATGAACGAAAGTCTTACGGGTTTGGAACAACATGAGGGTGAATAATAATAAATGAAAGAATTTTCATTTTGGGGACTCTTTAATCTATCAAATTGTATATAATTTTGGTCACACAATTTAAATACCCATGAATTATTAATTGAACCAATTTTTTTAAATGGTTGCTGTTGCTTCTGAATGCATGAAATACTGTGTTAAATTGTTTCACTACATTCACAATGTTTCACTATACAGTATGTGAATAATGTGCAACAAAATAAGACGTAAACATTATTACATTTTCTATTTAAAGTGTAAATCATTAAACTTACTCCTTAACATGACACGCCTTTGAAAGACGGTCATATTTCTATGGCCCTATGTTAGTTGTTTTCTTTTACATCCTGAAATAGAATTAGACCTGACATATTAGTTTTTCCTCTCTCATATCTCTTTGCCTAGAGGACAACTAAAGTAAACAGGAGCATGTAATGGCCTCAGCAGTAGCTCATGTCCTTGTATCATTACTTATCTGTCTGCCCGCTGTTATTGCGGCTCATGTGGAAAAGTGGCATGAAAATTGTCGACATTTATTTGCCTCCACAACTCTGTAATCCAATTTTCCGTGCTCTTCTCTTCTTCTTTGCTCTGCAGAATAACGTGTTAAAGTTGCTGGTTTGGTAGCAGCTCCTCTTTTCTCACTCTCACGTTCTCCTGTTTATATAGGAGTTTGTCTTCTCTTGCCATCTCAATATCTCTTTAAAGAGATAGTTCACCCCAAAAATGAAAATTCTGTCATCATTGACTCACGCTCATGTCATTCCAAACCCATAAGACTTTGGTTACCGGTAATCTCGAAACAAAAATGTATTGTTTTTAGTGGAACCTGAGATGTTTCTGTTTCTCCATTGAAAGTCCAGGTAACCAAATTTTAAAAGATACAAAAAGGTCATAAAGACGTCATAAAACAAATCCATATGAATTGAGCGGTTTGATCCAAAACTTGTGGAGAGCTTTGTATGATGAACAGATTTAATTTAGGCTTTTATTTACACCGACAATGATCGAAAGACATACAACAATTTGTTCATCATATAAAGTGATCATATCTCTTTACAAGACATGGACTAACTGCACTATTCACATGGATTCGCTTCATGATGCCTTTATGACCTTTTTGGACCTTCTTTTCTGGGCTTTCAATGGACGGACGGACAGAAAGTTTAAAAACTCAATAAAAATATCTGCATTGGTTGATTCGATTTCGAAGATTAAGGGTTTGGAACGACATGATTGTAAGTGAATTATGACAGAATTTTCATTTTTGGGAGAACTATCCCTTTAAAGGCCAATTCACTCTATACCGACAGACACAGAGGTCACTGACCAATGGCAACAGTCACTTTGTCAGGTTTTGTCAGATCAGTGTTACCCCTATCGGCATCTTTTGGTGTTGGTTATCGCTTGTTTTCTCGTCAAGTAATGTCTGAGAGGTGACGTACTGTAATCTTTTGATCGTCCGCGCTGGTTGGCATCTGTCGGTGCAGTGTGAATTGGCCTCTTTATCATTTCAAAGTTAAAATGATGAAACATTGTGTTTTTTTTCCTGTTGGAAGACTTTTAATAACTCAGCATCATCTTCATTTCAGGTTAAGGTGTGTCCTGGCCCTCGGCCCGCTCTGTGGATGTCTGTCACCATGGCGAAGTTTGAGACCGGACGCACAAGCCCAGTGGTGCGCCAGATAGACAAGCAGTTCCTGGTGTGTAGTATCTGTCTGGATCACTACCACAACCCTAAAGTACTGCCCTGCCTGCACACCTTCTGCGAAAGGTCTGTATTTGTTGCTAAATTATGTTTTACTAACAAAGTTCGGGAGGAACACGTTCAAATGATCTATCCAATCATCACGTCATTCAAACCAGCAATCTGTAATCAACATGTCTACCCAGAGCCATAGAGAGAAAGAGTTGCGACACTCTTTGATGTCGCCGCGACGGCTGTCACGTGGTTCATGTAAGCCCCAATAGTTCCAAAACGTACGCGGGCTGTCATGTTCTTCTATGGACAGACAGCAGCGATTGCATTATTAAACGGTAAATATAAAATAAAACACACACCCAAGTACTTTTTAAGCTGTTATTGCGTTTTGTTAATGTCAGTTTTGCATTTGGAGAGGCAGGGTGACAACTTAGATAAGTTTTAGGCTATATTTTTGGAGGGAAAAGCTTAGTGTTCATGTTCGCATGGGTAGTAATAGCACTGGCTTTAGCGGCTCTAACTTAACTTTTCCATGTCATTCATCTGATGATGGACGTCTCATGATATTTATTTTAGCACAACTGGCTGGGCTGTATTAGGCTATTGATTCCCGTGATCTTGCTTATAAATTCCGCTTCGTGATCACGCAAAGAGGTCTGCAGTCCGTTCAGAACTCCAACCAACATAAAATATAATTAATAACTCTGTGCATGTACAAATGAATGATTTAGGAGGGAAATAGACTGCTCCCATAACGTAGAAAGCAACGACTATATACAGCAATGTTCGGTAAATATTCAACCGAAAAATATTCTTCATAAAATTAAACCGGAGAGATAGTTAATGAGTGAATTAACTATGTTCCTAAATACATATAAGCACATGTATAGCCCTAACCCATTTAAATAAATGAATTGTGTGTGTGTATGTATATAATATTATAGGCTATATATATATATATATATATATATATATATATATAAAATATTATTAAAAATATTATATACATCAGGTTACCAGTTAGCTAACGTTAGTGAAGTGTTGGTCACGTAAGCTATCGCTGCAATGAACCTATTATCTTCCAATAAACATTTACTAAAACTGGCTACATAAAATATAACTACAGACTAGATTCACGAGAGGTCGGCTAATGTGTGTAAAAGTAAAAAAATACAGTAATTTCATTAATTTACCAGCGAGCGTACTTCTGAAGCACTGAAAATGAATGGGGTTCAATGGAGAAACTATCAGTGTTTGGAACTATTGGCCGCTCCACGACACGCGTTACTTCCGCATTCCAAAGTTCCTATGGCGGTCTATGGGAGTGTCGCAACTCTTTCTCTCTATGGCTCTGTGTCTACCCAATCAGCATAAGTGGAGGCATATATATACACAGTCGCCAAACCTATGTTCCTCGTCAGTTTTCAGCATCCCTCCACCACCCCGTCTCCACACTCACCTGGTTACTTCCTAACCAGAAATACAATGGGGAGGAGAATGATGCGAGCCACACTTGAACTCATATTTCCCAGATGAGCACCAGAGCACAAGGCCACAGCTCTGGCATGAGATAGTAGGGATGCACGATGATATCGGGACAACATCGGTATCGGCCGACAAAAGCTTAAAATGACCATCATCGGCATCGGCCGATATGAATATTTCTGCCGATGAGTCTTGCCGATAGGGTGGCGTGTTTCCTATGTGCACGTGACGACCGTGAACGAAGCATGAGCGCCAGCAACTTAAACTTCCAACTAGGGGTGTGCCGTGTGTCTCACGGTTTTTGATCGTGGACGATTAAAATGTCTCCACTATCTGCTTTTGAAGAAAAATCATAGTATCGTGCATTCTATCAGTTCAATTCTGGCGCCTTCATCTCAACATACTGTACAACGCGACGTACATTCACATCACATCACATGTAAACGCAGAGGTAGAGTTACACTCACGGGACACCGCAATTCACAAAAGTTCATTGTTTGCATGTGCGTCAAAGTCTTGCTAGGTAAACATGTCATTCACGTGCTGATGCGCTTTTCTGAGCGCATTACACCCGACGCTCACAGGAACTAAAGCCTGTCACAGCGCCTGCATACTGGACTAATCTATACTGTCAAATACACACAAGGTTTACATAAACAAAGTTGGTTATGTCTAAAGTGAAAGCAAACAGAGAAAATCTGCTTGTCAAATGCGTGTATATTAGACGCATCGCGTTACTCGCGTGCAGTTCTTAAAGAGACAGTAATAATATTCTGCCGCTTGTCTTTAAAGAGATACTGCACCCAGAAATAAAAATTCTGTCTATCTAATGTTGTTTCAAACCTGGATTCATTTCTTTCTTGTGCTTAAATATACTATGGAAGTCACTGGAGTACAGCAACTGTTTGGTTAGCCACATTCTTCCAAATAACTTTTATAATTTCAACAGAAGAAAGAAACTTGAGAGAGTAAATGATGACAATTTAAATTTTTGGGAGAACTATCCCGTTAATGTTAATAAAACAACAAAACACAGAGGAAATCACTCACTGCTCTTGACTGAGAACATTAATAGAAGCTTTAACCTGTTAAGCTTCAAGCCCATTTTTGAAAAATCCCCAGATATGGCATTCCCAAACTGAAACAGATACAGTTCATGAACCCTTTGTACTAAAAACACAAGTAAGATCTCATTTGAAAGCTGACACCTGGAAGTTTATTGTAAATGTAGAATTAATTATTGTCATAATGAAAAAAAATAGTTATAAATAGCTTCAAAGTTTTCACAGTGAAACTGTATCAAATGCCCTTTTTGAAAAACGAAACATTTCAGTAAGCATTCTTATTTAGAAAAAAATCATAAAAATTACACCGAAGTTAGGTAGCAGGTGCTCAGTACTAGCTAGCATGTTAGCTTAGCACACCATCAATACACGACAATTTATGAGAATAAAACTATGTTTGTGCTCCAAACTTACTTTATAGCGCAAGTCGAGTGTTTTAGATAACTTTCTGTAATCTGATTTGGCTTCAGATAAAAAAATCAGATAGAAAATATATTATTTTATTGTATTCTGTACAATTTGAAAGTCTATCTCGATTAGCATTACATTATACATATAATCTATTATTATGAAAATACCTGACATGACTCGAAGAACACAGGTAAATCAAATATCATTGCAATCATGTTTATTGTCTTCAAAACATCTTTATCTGCACTTTACAGCGATCTCGGATAGCTTTGTTGTGTCAGGACTTCCTGAATGTCACATGATTATGGGCCTTTCTCAATCTGTGTTCTTGTCTGTACTTGTGTCCTTGTGTTCTTGTGAAACGTCATCTTTTGTGGCCCAAGTACTGTCCCAATACACAAGTTTGCATTTTGGCAAGAACAGTTAAAAATCCCGGATGTGTTCTTGACACGCCCATTTTACAGAGGATGCATCGGCTGGTAACTTGTGTGAACTTGACGGCAGAAATATCCCAGCATTCAATTCGGCATTCGAGGAAGGAGAGGCAGGTCAATACAGTATTTCGTTTTTCTACAATTACGTACACTATTTCATCACTAAATTCACTTCTGAGAACATTTGATGCGAGAAATCAACTGTGTAGATTTCAAATATTGGCATTTTACGAAAATGTATGGCTAATCGAAAATGTGCTCAAACGTTTTCGGAAGTGAGAATCTCCATAAGCGCCTGCGGGTGTAACGTTAGCTATCGAGCCAACCGGCCAGTTTGCTCACAGACTCGTTTTTCCCCACAGTCAAGAGACCATTGCAGCCTGGCTGTTATCGTCAACAATTCTCGTTATGTTTGGGTACTGCAGACGGTGTCTGTGCGGGGGTATTATTGCGCAATACCAGCAAGAACACATCGTCTCAAACTGTCAGCAGCGTTCTGTGTGCTCGTCACCTTGTGAGTTCATTTTTCCAAGAACAACTAGCAAGAGTGTTCTCCCCAAGAACACAAGTCCGTTCTTTGCATTCTTGGTTTTGAGAAACACCCTATGGCTCTTCTTCATGTGATCCATATATGGACTTTACTGTGCAAACAGCGCCCCAGACTGTTAGTATGAATTGATAACACAGTACATCAGAGTATACAGCGCTCAAAATGATTACATCGACGCATTTGGGTATAAATTCAATAAATATTATTCCTGTCGATAGAAGTCTGATGTAAACCTATGAGAATCTATCAATATTTCTCCAAATCTGCACATGTTTGAGCTAAAAGCCCTGAGGGACGTTGTTTTGTCAAGCGCTGTCATGACGATCGCACGGGAGTTTTTTTCTGAATGAGAGCAGCTGACGCTCATAATTCATATTAAAGGTAACGACTCATTTTTTAATTTCATAACTCCTGACACAAATTAAGACATAACTGTCACTATAAGTTTCACAGAATACAATAGTGGTCAAATACTGAAACTTGAGTCTTATATCGTTTTAATGATGTATAGTTTGTCAAGTTAATAACATTAAATATGATAGTAACTTTGAACTATTTAAAAAAAAAAAACGCTTCAGAGCGCCCACGCACTGGTGAAGGTTAACAGGTTTTTAATAAGCTTTTTTTGCACTTAAAAAAATACAAATATATCGGTATCGGCATCGGGGAAAATTAGTTTGAAAATATCGGCATATCGAATATCGGCCAAAATCCTATATCGTGCAATCCCTATGAGATAGGCTTGCTGTTATGTTCGGTGTTACCAGTGTTACACTGTGTTCAGCCGCACACGATTACATCACTTGGACACCACAGAACCGCCCCCACCGTCATTTAGACTTTTTTTAATAGTAATAAAAATCATTTAGTTGAGTTAGAGATCAGACACTACAATTAAAAACTGAACGCGTATGCTCAATTCAGCGCGACTCGTGAGCCGAATTAGCAGCAGGAGTCAGATTTCATTCATCACGTGACGAGAGTGAGTGACAATACGAAATGTAAAGGTGCCTATTTAAGCAAATATGTAATTGCACTGTTTTGAAATGTGATACCGGTGTACCGGTGATTTCCTCACCGTCACATCCCTAGCCTGAGCATATTAGAATTAGTCCTAACTGTTTTAATAACATGCTTAATGATTGAAGCATAGATCAGTTGGAAACCTTAGGATTGCATGAACTCTGTTTACTTACTGCTGACAACGCTCGGCATGGGTGCTCTGTCTCTACCACAAATATTTTCTTCTGTATAGATGGCTTGAGATGTGTGCAGTGAGACTCTTTGTCTTTATTTGTGCTTTGTATCTGTGGGGTTGAATGTCAGTGGAGTGTTTCCACTGTGATTGTTCGTGTTGTGACTGAAATTTCAGCAACACTTGCCCTCCTAGCCTTCTCGCTCTCACAATGTCCCGCAGGAGTACATCATTTATGAAATGTGAGACACACTGCATTCAAATGTTTGGGTTTGGTCAGATTTTTGTTTTGAATTAGTTTTTTTTTTGGAAAAAAAAGTCTCATGCTCACAGAGGCTGCATTTATTTGATCACATTTACAGTAAAACAGTAACATTATGGACTATTATTACATTTTAAAATAACTGTTCTCTATTTGAATATATTTTGAAATATTCCTGTGATGCTAAGCTGAATTTTCAGCCTCATTACTCCAGTCTTCAGTGTCACATGATCCTTCAGAAATCATTCTAATATGCTGATTTGCTGCTCAAGAAACATTTCTTCTTTTTATATCGTTGTTAAAACAATTGTACTTCTTAATATTTTAGTTTTGTTCAGGATTCTTTGATTAAAAAGCAGCATTTCTTGGAATACCGGTTTAAGTATGTAAACGTATAAATGTTTTTACTGACAGTTTAAAGCTTCATTGATAAATAAGTATTAATTTCTTTTAAAAAATGTAATCTTTTGAAATGTAGTGTATGTTAATGGTTGTTGTTGGTATCTGTTTTTCAAAGATACGTTTACATTGAAGGCGATGTGTGTAATATATGATGTTAAAATGCATCATATACCTATTTAAAGGGATAGTTCATATAAAAATGGAAATTCTGTCATTTACTCACCCTATGATCTTTGTAAAACCTGCATGTCTTACTTTCTTCAGTAGAACACAAAGGGAGTTATTTATAGCAAATACATGTTACTCCTTTCCATATAAAAAGAATGTGAATGGTGACTTAAATTTCAGTTGTTTCCTCACAAAGATATCGTATGACTTTAGAATATAGTGCATGAGTCGTATGGATTACTTTTATGATGGTTTTTAGTATTTGTCCTTTTTGGAGCTCAACAGTCCTTGGTCCCCATCCACTTACATTGTTAGGAAAACCGCAATGTGAACATTCTTCAAAATATTTCCTTTTGTGTTCCGCAGAAGAAATAAAGGGTTTGGAGCAACATGAGGAGAGTAAAAAAATAGCAACTGATATTTGTGGCTGATTGATTTAGTTTGAGGTTGTTAATCACGTCTGTCCTTCTCTTTATATCACAGGTGCCTGCAGAACTACATTCCCTCTCAGTCTTTGACACTGTCCTGCCCGGTGTGCAGACAGACCTCCATCTTGCCCGAGAAAGGTGTGGCGGCACTACAGAACAACTTCTTCATCACAAACCTCATGGAGGTGCTGCAGAGAGACCCAGAATGTTCTCGGCCGGAGGCCTGTAGCGTGCTGGAGCCCGCTGGGAAACCGCTCTCCTGTCCCAATCACGAGGGCAAAGTAAGCCTCTTACCATCTGATGATGAAACCACATTTGGCAATACTTAGTGGGAACATGGAGAAACCATAAAAAACGAGGTTGTAGGGAAAATCGTGGCTACAAGGGGTTGGGAATTTCTTTACCACCCCTGATTTCTCTACATTTAAGCCATTTTTTCATTGGCAGAGGCTGCTGTGTCACTACCAGCTTCTTTCCTTTGTGTCGTCAAAGTCATAATACATGTGTGTTTACGTTGTTCAGGCCTGTTTGCATACATTAGCTCCCTTTGATAATCCATTAGTATGCTGAATGAAAGGGTTGCTCACTGCTGCCCCTGCAGGTGATGGAGTTTTACTGCGAGTCGTGTGAGACGGCCATGTGCCTGGACTGCACAGAGGGGGAACACAGGGAGCATGTGACCGTTCCACTGCGGGATGTTCTAGAACAGCACAAAGCAGTGCTAAAGAATCAGCTGGATGCTATACGCAACAGGTACATATGCGCCGTTCGTAATAGTCAGCTCTTACATACAGTTCATCACTTCAATAATAACAACAGAGCACACTACATACATATTGCTTCAAATACATTTTTATTTTTATTGTCATTATTATAATAAAAATGTTATATTCAAAAACATTACATAATAATAATAAGAGTAATAATAATAATAATGATGAATATATTATGTTAGTTTTAGAAATTTTGTTATAAGTTTGTGTGTAGCAGTCATATAAATTATCATTACTATTATATTTGTTTTTAATTATGTATTTGTTATTTAAATTATTTGAGATATTATTAAAAATTAAGAAAATGTATGATAATAATAATTTAAATAATTATACAAAAAAATATGAATATAAAATGTTATATATATATATATATATATATATATATATATATATCATTTTACTAGTGACTAAATATAAAACAAAATTATGCTTTTATAAGCTGTTTTAAGTGATGATTGTGAATAATATTGCTGCCTGTTTTCCAAATTACTTGGCTTTTTCCCAAAATTTCTCTGATAAAATCTGTTCTTTTTAATTCGGTCAGGCTGCCCCAACTAACAGCGGCCATTGAGCTGGTGAATGAAATCTCTAAACAGCTGATCGAGAGGAAGAACGAAGCAGTCAATGAGATCAACATGACATTTGAGGAGCTCGAGAAGGCATTGCACCAACGCCAGGCTGCGCTCATCACCGACCTGGAGAACATTTGTAGCACCAAGCAGAAGGTCAGAAATCTCCTGATATGTTAAACAGGTTTTACTCCTATCTCTCTAACACTCCTTTCTGCTGTGTTCTCTGCAGGTGCTTCAGGCACAGTTATCCTGTCTTCTGCAGGGAAAAGAGCACATCCAGAACAGCTGCAGTTTCACTGAGCAGGCCCTGAACCACGGCAGCGCCACCGAAGTCCTGCTGGTCCAAAAGCAGATGAGTGAGCGGGTGAGCGCCCTAGCCTGCCACGACTTCCCTGAACGGCCGCACGAGAACGCCCACTTGGACTGCCAGATAGAGACTGAGGGTTTGCGACGCTCCATCCAGAACCTGGGCGTCCTGCTGACGACGGGTGCCGTGGGACACACCAGTGTGGCAACGGGAGAAGGGCTCAGACATGCCCTGGTCGGTCAGCACGTGACTGCAACTGTTACCACTAAGGATAAGGACAGTGATCTTGTGCGGACTGGTAACGCGGTCCTCCGTGGGGAGATAACGGGGCAGGACGGAGTGCGGTCGGTGGAGGTGGAGGTCGTGGACAATAAAAATGGAACGTACGAGGTAGGGTACACGATTAAGAGCGAAGGGGAGTACTCGTTCTCTTTGATGCTTTATGGACAGCCCGTGCGGGGCAGCCCGTTCAGACTGCGGGCGATAAAGCCGTCAGATGTGCCCCAGTCTCCGGATGATGTGAAGAGGAGGGTTAAATCTCCTAGCGGGACAGGAGGACACATCAGGCAGAAAGCGGTACGGAGACCCTCCAGCATGTACAGCACCACCAAAAAGAAGGAAAACCCCATAGAGGATGAGCTGATTTACAGAGTGGGTAAGAAACACTGGATAAAAAAAAATATGTGTGCACAATAAGAAGTTAGACATTAAATTGTTGTTCAATATTATTTTGATTTTGTGAATTTCCTTTGTCTGACCCCTCAGGCTCTCGGGGGAGGGAGAAGGGAGAGTTCACTAATCTACAGGGTATCTCTGCTTCCACTAATGGGAGGGTCATTGTAGCGGACAGCAACAACCAGTGTATACAGGTTAGTCGATGTATAGAAATATTATAAAAATCATAGGCTTCATTTCTAAAGCAATTTAGTGGATATTAAAGTAATGAACCAATGTGTCAGTAATCTTACTTGGGATCAATACAGACATATAGACAGATTTTCATTGCATTCAGTGCAAAATTTGATCATCTGTTTGTTTTTATAAAGGTGTTTACTAATGATGGCCAGTTCAAAGCACGGTTTGGGGTCAGAGGTCGTTCCCCAGGACAACTGCAGAGGCCGACAGGAGTGGCAGTCGACACGAATGGAGACATTATAGTAGCTGATTATGATAACAGATGGATCAGCATCTTCTCCCCTGATGGGAAATTTAAGGTGATGTTTACATCATAATTTACAGTCTATATATATATATATATATATATATATATATATATACATACATTGATACATATGTGTGTGTGGTTCCGGTATACCCTACGTTATGGGGACAAAATGTCTCCCACAATGAAGGCAATATCTGAAATCCTTGATCTTGTGGGGACATTTTTGGGGTTTTTGGCATGAGGAAAACGGCTTATAAATTATACTAAGTGATGTGTAAAAAGGAAGTGTAAAAATGCTGAAAGTTTTCTGTGATGGGTTGGTTCAGGGTTAGGGGATAGAATATACAGTTTGTACAGTATAAAAATCATTGTGTATGGAATGTCCCCATAAAACATTAAAACCTAACCGTGTGTGTGTGACAGGAAAGACTATACTGTTACAAAAAATGTATATTTAAAATAAATGCTGTTCTTTTGAACTTTCTGTTCATCAAAGGCAGAGGTGGGAAGTAACGAAGTACATTTACATTTAGTATTTTTTTGGAAAAATTTTACTTTTAAGAGTAGATTTAATTGTGGGTACTTTTACTTTAACTCGAGTACATTTCTAATGAAAAAATGGTACTTTTACTTCGTTACGTTGGGCGACGTTCCTCTCGTTACTTTATTTTAATGCAATGTTGTTAAAAGCGTAGTTTATTCTAAGCGCGCGCTCTCTCTGTTTTCTGGGCATGAGCGATGCTCAATTCACAAATGAATCACTCTTTTGAGTCGATTCTGTTCAAAGACTTCATCAAACAAGTTGGGCAGATCTGTCTAAATCGGTTCGCGAATCAGTTGGAATGATCTGTTCAGTTTCCTGCACGCACTGAATCATCTCGGAGTCGTAACAGGAAGATTTAAGAACATCAAGAGCGTTGTATGAAGTGGCGGTCCACAGTCTACAGTACAGTCTAGAAAGTAAATCTGCAAATGCATCAAATTTTTTGCCAGCGATGAAGATCTTTATTAGTTGCATCGTATGTTACTTCGTAAGCTGTCTGTCTGTGAATGAATTATTCACGACGATACATTCGATTTCATTTCATTCAGGTAATACATTTTACAACCAAACAGATTATTACGCCATATAGCACTACTACAAAGTATGACATTACCCTTTTTTTGGACATATACATTAATTTATACATTAAATAAGCTATCATCGTCCAGTTTATGAATGTGTGTAGACACACAATGTGTGTCTTGCACAGTGGCGTGCGAACTCGACTTGAAAACGAATGCCTTTGCCTGCCTTATTAGACACAGTTAACCAGTTTAAAGATGCTTTCATAAATATAGCCTACATTTAAATACATTTTGGAGAACAGACAGAAGAAGATCCGTGCATTTGATCGTTGTTTGTGTTTGGCATGACATGACTGCGGGCACAGTTTTAACACTTTCTAATCTGTGTCAATGGTTCCCACCCCTTTACATATGAATGCAAAACTCCATAGAGTCACTTTATTCCGACATTGTCTAATAATCCAAATGTAGTTGTATAAGTTATTATACTATTATACAAACCAAAGGACAGGCAATGGTTTTCGGGTTATAGATATAATATACAGAAATAATGTTTGTCTCTTCTGTTTTTGTTGCAAAGATAGCTTATCTAATTATGATAATTTTAGTCATTAATATGAAAAAATATCTAAATAATATCATGTTTTATATATATATATATATATATATATATATATATGCCTATGTGATCCAAAGTAACTAGTAACTAACTACTTGAGTAGTTTTTTCATTGGATACTTTTTTACTCTTACTCAAGTAACTTTTAAGATTATTACTTTTACTTTTACTTTGAGTAAATATTTCTATAAGTACTTGTACTTTTACTTGAGTACAGTTTTTGGATACTCTACCCACCTCTGATCAAAGCAGTGACATTTTTTTTTTATCACAGTTTCCAAAAAAGATTTAAGCAGCATAACTCAAGCAGTACAATCCTTAAATATGTAAATAAATGATGGCTTCAAGTATACATTTAAATTATTGTCATTTTATTTGTTTCTTGCCCACTGTAAATAATTTTTCTTACTCAATGCCATGGTTGACTAATTTACATTTACATGTATTCATTTCGCAGTCACTTTTATCCAAATCAACTTACAAATGAGGAATACAAGAGTAAGTTATAACAAGGAGGAATATTAGAAATAGTGAAAACAGAAAAATAAGTTGTTTTATTTGTTTGTTTTTTAAGTCAGCAGGATGCAGTTAATGAAATCAAAATGGACTTTATTTGCTTTGTTAGCGCACATTACTAGTCTTGTGGTGAACAATTAATCAGTGTAAGTTAATACACAGAAAAAAATCGTTTGTCGTGGTAATCTTTAATCAAAATTTGAAATGTTGCTTTCGCTCTGAATGGCGTTCCTTCTCTGATGACATCAGTTTGACGGCTTGGGTTGAATATCCTTAACCACTTCCCTCCAACTGTCGGTCTGCTATGAGCGAGAGATGGAGAGGAGGTGGCCTAAAGTAAAACCCCGCCCTCTATTCAATATTCCGTTTCTCTTGGAAATACATCACAACACTGAAGTAAAGTCGGTGGCAACTTCCGTTTCACTGGGACTTTGATTGTTCATGGAAGAGATGAGTTTTCAGTTGTTTCTTGAAAATTGTCAAGGATTCGGCTACTCTGAATTACATATTCCTAAGAACCGTTTAATAAGGTCCTTTCTAAACGACCCTCTCTTAATGTCTGTGCCCCATGCAGAATAAGATTGGTGCTGGCCGTCTGATGGGACCCAAAGGAGTGGCTGTGGACAGGAACGGTCATATCATCGCAGTGGATAATAAAGCTTGCTGTGTGTTCATCTTTCAGTCTAATGGCAAACTAGTGACCAAGTTTGGAGCCAGAGGCACCTCAGACAGACAGTTCGCAGGTACAGCGATTGAACACTGTATCATAATGCTAATAAACCCAACGTTGAATAATGTAATGTGGTTTGTGGTGGTTAACCTAAGCACTAAAGAGTTGCAGAAGTGTTGTTGGCGCCCACTGTTGTGTGCTGTGACTGCTTTGTCCTCTAACATCTCTTCCTAATACCTCATTTGTCCAGCTCAGGAACTCTTCTTGTGACCAAAAATGTTGCAATTCATGAACAAACTTTAAAGAAACAAGAGCTAAATGGTGTTTCACTACAAAAGCAACTAAGAACCATTCTGGGAAGACAAATGGCGCAAAAGGCCGGTGTTTTTTATACAGAAATGGCCAGATTTACACAGGCTTCAGTTCCAGTGTCTAAAAGGATGTAAACCTGTATATTTCCCCTGCCTCAGTTCTGTTCCTGTGTTTCACTTTAGCATAAGCCATATTTTCAGTTGCATTATCTGTCTATATGATAAATAATGAAGGCCAATGCATGCATACATGAATGAGCTTATATTCTTTCTATGATACTGATAGATACACGCGTTAGTCATGCTTTTTGAAGCTCGGCCAACACTTTCTTCCTGCTGCTTATTTTACTATTTAAAAACATCAGTCCTTTTCCTAACCCTTTTAAGCAAGTGCATGTGGCTTGCGGACTGGTTTGGGATGTGCATCTCTAGACAGTCTTCCATTGTTCTTTTGGTCTGCTTCATGTTTGTTCCAGCACTCAAGGATGATTTTCATTCTTGCACCATTTGAAATGTTTTTGAAGTAGTTTTTGCGCTTTTTTTGTCTCAATCCCTTCTGCTCTGTCATTTATTCGTCTCTGCTTACCCTTGTTTGTGTTTTTCCCATTCCTTTTTAGAAAAAAGTGGTGTAAAGTTTGCACTGGAGCAAAAGTTTAGTAAATCTGGCCCTGGGTTCAGTAAGTATTGAGTGAATTCTCATCCCAGAATGTGGTGATTTATCTTTTTGAAATTAAGTTTCATTCTAGAACTGGATTCAAGATCAAATGATTTTGTGCTTTGTCTTTCTAATCAAATGTTGGCAAAAATCAAATTGTTCAATATGGATTAAGGCTTTTATCCAGGATTTGAAATTAACACCCGCCAACCCACCAAATGCGGGTACAAATCAACTGTGGCGTTTAACGCTGTCAAATCACTAGCCAATTTGGCAGGTTACTTACATTTACTCACTTTGCTGGGGAAGTTCGTGTACAATACTCAACCTGTGAGTCATCATGATATATTAAATACAGCATATTGCGCAGAATCTGCACATATCTGGCTTACTTGAACATGCCCGTCACTACGCAACAAATAATGGCGGGCGCTTGTTCATTTGCATTGAAGCAATAGCGAAGATTAAAAAGCATTTGGTTAACAGAAAAGACATTGTTATTTTCCAACATCCTACAATTTTAGCAGACCCTGGCTTGTCCTGAGACCACAGGTTTGTTTTGTTCCGCGTGGTGTTTGATGTGCATTGTACTGTATTGATCTGTCCACTTAAAATACATTTTTTTGGTTAAAAGGATGAGGATGGCTGGATGACAGGATTTTGTTTGAATAAGAAATAAATGTATGAAATCCAAATTTTATAATATATATTATATGTATATATGGTTATATAAGCTGTGATGTAGTTAATATGGTTTATTTATTTATTATTATTTATTTATTTAGGCTAGGGGAAGTTCTGAATGGCCGATAACTTAAAAATTTAGCAGCCAAATTGGCCGGTGAGTGAAAAAGTTAATTTCAAACCCTGCTTCCATACACATTACATCACGAGATCTATCTAATCCGCTATGAGATCTTGATCACATGACATCCCTGCTCTCCTCTCCGCTCTTTTTCTGTGTCTTTATCACGTCTGAATCTTTCTTCTCCCCCATTTCTCTCTGTTTTCTCGCATGCAGGCCCGCACTTTGTTGCTGTCAACAACAAGAATGAAATTGTGGTGACAGACTTTCATAACCACTCCGTCAAGGTGAGTGTATCTCATGGTCGTTCTTACAATTTTCACCTGGTGGACAATAATCCCATAAACTTAAACGAAGGGACCTGAACCATATCTAAAGACCAGAATATATATATATATACACTCACCGGCCACTTTATTAGGTACACCTGTCCAACTGCTCGTTAACACTTAATTTCTAAGCAGCCAATCACATGGCGGCAACTCAGTGCATTTAGGCATGTAGACATGGTCAAGACAATCTCCTGCAGTTCAAACCAAGCATCAGTATGGGGAAGAAAGTTGATTTGAGTGACTTTGAACGTGGCATGATTGTTGGTGCCAGAAGGGCTGGTCTGAGTATTTCAGAAACTGCTAATCTACTGGGATTTTCACGCACAACCATCTCTAGGGTTTACAGAGAATGGTCCGAAAAAGAAAAAACATCCAGTGAGCGGCAGTTCTGTGGGCGGAAATGCCTTGTTGATGCCAGAGGTCAGAGGAGAATGGCCAGACTGGTTCGAGCTGATAGAAGGGCAACAGTGACTGAAATAACCACTCGTTACAACCGAGGTATGCAGCAAAGCATTTGTGAAGCCACAACACGCACAACCTTGAGGCGGATGGGCTACAACAGCAGAAGACTCCACCGGGTACCACTCATCTCCACTACAAATAGGAAAAAGAGGCTACAATTTGCAAGAGCTCACCAAAATTGAACAGTTGAAGACTGGAAAAATGTTGCCTGGTCTGATGAGTCTCGATTTCTGTTGAGACATTCAGATGTTAGAGTCAGAATTTGGCGTAAACAGAATGAGAACATGGAACCATCATGCCTTGTTACCACTGTGCAGGCTGGTGGTGGTGGTGTAATGGTGTGGGGGATGTTTTCCTGGCACACTTTAGGCCCCTTAGTGCCAATTGGGCATCGTTTAAATGCCACGGCCTACCTGAGCATTGTTTCTGACCATGTCCATCCCTTTATGGCCACCATGTACCCATCCTCTGATGGCTACTTCCACCATGTCACAAAGCTCTAATCATTTCAAATTGGTTTCTTGAACATGACAATGAGTTCACTGTACTAAAATGGCCTCCACAGTCACCAGATCTCAACCCAATAGAGCATCTTTGGGATGTGGTGGAACGGGAGATTCGCATCATGGATGTGCAGCCGACAAATCTGCGGCAACTGTGTGATGCCATCATGTCAATATGGACCAAACTCCCTGAGGAATGCTTCCAGCACCTTGTTGAATCTATGCCACGAAGAATTGAGGCAGTTCTGAAGGCAAAAGGGGGTCCAACCCGTTACTAGCATGGGGTACCTAATAAAGTGGCCGGTGAGTGTATATAAATATATATATATATATACATTTTTATTGTATGTATGTATATATCTTGGGAAAGTATTTGTACCTAATCATTTTTGTTTCACATTTTATGTTGCTGCCTTGTTAAACTACTTTAAATTACTTTTTTTCCACATCAATCTACACTCCATACACCATAATGAATATTAAAGGGGTGGTTGATTATGATTCCACTTTTCTAAATTTAGTTAGTGTGTAATGTTGCTGTTTGAGCATAAACAGCATCTGAAAAGTTACAACGCTCAAAATTTTAAAGAAGTCGTTTTTTAAGGACTACAACAAACGGCTGGTAGGGACTACACAACATTCCTCCCGGGTTAGTGACATCACTAACCCTAAAATGTACATAAACCCCGCCCCTGGGAACACACAGTCCATGTTGAGAAGAGGAAGAGTTGTTGTAGTAGAGCACATTTGTGAGTCAGCTCAAGCTGTCACATTCGTCTTTTAACATGCAATCCAGTACGTTACACAAATGCAATAGCATGTCACTCTGTAGGAATCTTACAACAGCTCCCACACGAGCGATTTATAGATTATCATGACAGAATATGCTAACTAAAGACTTGAAGATAGTTAACTCCACATCAGCAACATAAATTCATCAACTAACCATTCAGAAACGTCCTGTTGCATTCTACATGCTGTCACTTCTTGAGTCTCTCCATCATTGTCCAACTCCGGTTTGAACATAAAGGCAGAACAGTTTCTGACATTTTAGTGTTTGTCTGTGTGAGGTAATCGGAGTTGCTAGCACACACAAGCTCTTGAAGCTCCGCCCTCTGTGCCGGGAGCAGCAGCTCATTTGCATTTAAAGGGACACACGCGAAACGACGAGTTTTTGCTCACCCTCAAAAAGGGACAACTTCAACATGCTGTAAACAATTATCTGTGGGGTATTTTGAGCTAAAACTTCACATACACACTCTGGGGACATCAGAGAATTAATTTACATATTGTAAAAAGGGGCATTATACCACCCCTTTAAATTAAATATTTTTGACTCATATATTCTTTAGTCAAATAATTGATTTAATTGTAGTATTCATTAAATATGCCTTAAATCACAGTCTTTACACATAAAAAAATAGCATACGATATTAATATATTTCCCCACTGTACAATTAAATGTTAATAAATATTAAAGGTGCACTTAGTAATCATTTAAGTTGCATTGAGAATATGGCCTAGTGGTGTAGATGTAATCTCACACAAATGCAATAGTTTTCAGGTGTTAATGTCATTGTAAATATGCAATATTAGCAGTCAGCAATGATTCATTTATTCCACAAGTGAAAGTTTCGATAACACTTTAGTTGGGGACCAATTCTCACTATTAACTAGTTGCTTATTAACATGCATATTACTAGGATATTTGCTTTTTATTAGTACTTATAAAGCAAATATTAATACCTTATTTGGCATGAACATCTTCTACATCCCTTAATCCTACTCAATACCTAAACTACTAACTATAAATAAGCAGTAATTAGGAGTTTATTGAGGCAAAATGTATGTATCTGGTAATCTGTTCCATTAAAAAAAACAATATTTTTATTAGGCTACTGACATGACTGGATGATTTTAAATATAATAAAAGGATTATTCATTTGATATATTTAAATGATGGGAGAAATTACAGAATGCATCTTTTATTGTAAATCATTGTATTTTATTTAATATGGGTGATTTAAAATGTGTATTTTCTCAGGTCTACAGTGCAGATGGAGAGTTTTTGTTTAAATTTGGGTCCCATGGAGAGGGAAACGGCCAATTTAATGCACCCACAGGGGTCGCTGTTGATGTTAACGGCAACATCATCGTAGCAGACTGGGGCAACAGCAGAATACAGGTACTGAATCCTCTAAACATCCATTTCCTCTTTACAAAATCTCCAAGAAATAAGTCATTTCAGTAGCACTTTTTTAAGATGACAATCTCTACAATACAAGTTTTTTTTTTTTTCTCAGGTGTTTGATAGCTCAGGCTCATTTCTCTCCTACATCAACACAACTGCTGACCCACTGTATGGGCCGCAGGGTCTCGCTTTAACCTCCGACGGCCATGTTGTGGTGGCCGATTCTGGTAACCACTGCTTCAAAGTCTACCGGTACCTGCAGTAACGCCTCAGGCACTGCCACGGGGTGACACAAACTCTCCTGCAACTTCGGTTCATCACAGTTTGCATAGTCATATCACCGAAATCCTCAGCCAAACCAGAAAGGAAGAATCGAAGGAACAAAAAGCACTTTTCTTTAATCTTCTACTGATTTTCATGTTCCAAAACAAAGAACTACTTCTGTACTAAACCAGGAATGTTGATTGTAAATAATAGAAACCATATCAATAAGCACAGATTCTTATTAGAAATCATGTAAGTCGTGTATAAAAAAAAAAGTGTGTGTATGTATATATATATATATATATATATATATATATATATATATATATATATATATATATATATATATATATATATATATATATATATATATACATACACACATTTTGTTAATCGCGTCTTAAACCCTTGCCGAAAAGGCGATTATTTCCAAGATTCCTTTCCCGTCTCAGTGATTGACCTTCCCATGACTGCAACAGTTGTGTATTTTAATTCTGTTACATTCTGCATTTGTAAATATACAAATTTATGTACATATGAACATAATTGGTGTATGTAACATGTAAATGACTCTGGCTTCTTGTATTGTCAGCATTTACCACTGGGATTTCACTATACCCAAGCTATTCAGTGAGTGATTTCAGCCAACTGGGTGTTTAAATCATTTAGACTGAACATCTGAGCTGATTATCCCTCACAGATATCAACAGCACAGGAAGTGATGCGTATCCCTGCTGTGCTCTCTCTCTCTCTCTCTCTCTCTCTCTCTCTCTCTCTCTCTCTCTCTCTCTCTCTCTCTCTCTCTCTCTCTCTCTCTCTCTCTCTCTCTCTCTCTCTCTCTCTCTCTCTCTCTCTCTCTCTCTCTCTCTCTCTCTCTCTCTCTCTCTCTCTCTCTCTCTCTCTCTCTCTCTCCATAAATAAATAATCAAACCAATTAACAAAAGGAGCTAAAAAAGGACATATTTTTTTCCATTCCAAATTATTTATTTTTCTAAAGCACAAGGCTACTTTACGTGTTGAAAAATCCAACAAGCAAATAGAAATATAATCAAACCCAAGTATTTCAAGTGTAGGCCTGTTGTCTCTGTTTTTTAATGTTCTATAAAGATGATCAGCTGTATGGAATTATATCTATTTTCTGTAAATAATCATGCAGATCCCTGATGTTCACAGTGTAGCAACCAAATGTTGTCTTTAGTCAGTATTAGTTTGTTCATTTGTCTATTTATTTAATGTTTTGTACACATTTTCCTGAATAATTTGTTTCGAGATTGTCCATCACCAGCGAATGATTTCAAATCACCTCCCTTTAATTGTGTGGATATTTCCTTTGTCTCTTTGAAGGTTTATGTGACACCATGTCTCCTTAATAGGCTACTTGCTCTATGTGATACTGTAAGGTTAATGAACGGTGGCTCACAGCTGAAACGGTGAACGTATATCTTATATCTGTGCAAATAATGTTTTTGCATGTTAATGATTTTACCAGCAGTCTGAAATATGGTTTCTGCAGCAGAGGTACTTGTAATGATTTGCTATTACCAGGCTGGAAATAAAAAATACTTTAATAGCCAAAAACATATATTCTATACTGTATATTCATTTATAATATACAGTAATATACTTCCCAGACAGCAACATGTGTCAGCCCAGATCTGGCCCACATCTGATGGATTCCACACAGCCCATATCTGGGCCGAGACTCTGCTGCTTCCATCGTGATGGGCTTTTTTGGAGAACCGTCATCAGTAAAGGCCTGTTCACACTAAGAACGATAACTATAATCAAAAAGTTTTGAAAAATTGCTCTAAAGGTGCAGTCACATTTACTATTGTTTTGAATTTTTGTGGGTGAAATCCGAGACGGTTTCTAAAATCCAGTCATTTCAATAGGAATCCACGCGATCGGGAACTTAGCGAGAGCCAGCAGATTTTGCAACGGCTTCAAATTGGTCACACGAATTCGGCGCGTTAACCAATAATAATATATATATATTTTTTTTAAATGCTTGTTTTGAAAGTGTGAGCTGTGCTTCATACATGCTAAAATATTGACAATAAACATTTGGGCCTTTTTGTGCCTGTAAAATGTCTCTAATATGAACAGTAGAATCAGAATAGAGAAGTCCACACCGCAGCTATAACAATAAGGACGCAGAGGAACAATATCGTTGAAATTATTTTCTCTCCGCTGATAATTCGCCATTAAACAGAAGATAGTATTTTCTTTCTTATTGTTACCGGTAAGTATATCCGAGTGAAACGGCTTCTCGGACAACACAACTTGTAGGGCGGGAATTGATTGGATGGTTGTGATTTGCTATTGCTGTGATCTCATGTGAGTGACATGTCGTCCCGCCCTCACGCCAGTAAAAACACATCATCAGAGATGTTTTGATTAGAGATTACAATGGCACATTAATAAAAAAAAAAAATGTTGATGTACACAGATAAATCATAAATACTGCAATTTAAAATAATAATAATTTGAATTGTCAATTGCATGTTGACAACTGCAACAGCGATCTTAGAATCAATTACAATATCGTCCGGTGGTGTGAACGCTAATTTTTACATTGGTATGTATGGATGGACCTTAACACTGCATGATAAAGTGCTTGGACAGATGATTTAATAAATGAATAAAAAAAAAAAAAAAAATCTTGTACAGCAAAGAAACAACCATAATCATAAAAAAAAAAAAAAAAAAACCCTAATCAAAATTATTCACTTTTTAAAAATATTATATATGGATATAAAATGGAACTTCCTGGTTCTATGAAATATGAAATGCTAAAATTAAACAATTGTTGTAATATTTTATTTTTTTAGATGACTGTAGTGTAGAGGAAAACATTTAACATTGCAGTGGTTTTAAATCTCACAAAAGTAAAATGTACTCATGGTGCCATCCAGCAGTTATGCTCAAATGTGATGTAACAGATCTCTTACATCAGCAATTAAAAGAAAGCCCAATTAAAAATATATATACACTAAACATATAGAGTCAATGTTTTCAAGTTGAACTCATTTCCAATGAGGAAATGGACAGTGATTACCAATGTAGTAAATGTTAAAAGAAACTTAGATCCTAGCTTTTATCATGGAGTGTTGTGAGAGCATGTTCATGTTAACAGCACAAAACATCCTAAACTCCAGAAGTGACCTGTTCCAGTGTTTTCCTGATCCTTTGTCAGCTCAAAAGACATTTTGAACAAATGACTGCTGCGGTTCTAGTATATAAACTAGTTCAGTAAATATCAACACGAACAACAAACCATCTGAGCTCAATGAAAAGGTGCTGAAATGTCCCTTTGTGCTCGTTTCAGTCCTGAAGCAAACATTCTCAGCATCTCTTCACCATCAGCCCACAAGACAGATTTGACTACTGCTAAACAAATATAATAGATGAAAATTAATATAATGGATTTGAAAGGTACATGACGTAACATGAATGGCACAAAGCTTCAGGATAAACTCATTTACATAATTAAATGAACAAAAGGACGCTCCTTGCAGCATATCTGTCGGAAACTCACAAACTCAAAGTTGCATAGCACCTATTGCAGTCTGAGCTATTACGATATGTTCAAACACAGAGCCTTTATGTAACACGGTTATTTGTCTAACAAATACATTCCTTAAAAACAAAACTGCAACAAAAGAATATGTAAACATTGAAAATAAATGTAAAATAATAGAGAGAAAAAAAACTGTCAATATATGCCATAAAATGGAATACATGGGGATTAAAAAAATGTAAATCTTATTTTCCCCCCAAATCACTTAACAAATTTCTACAAACTCAAATGTGGATACCAAGCATTAATACATATTTGGCCTGATTTAGTCCTTATTTTCACCTCTACACTGATGTACAAAAGACAACACTGAGGTCTAAGACAAGACGACACAGAGCAGCTAAAGTCGACATTTGCGTAAAAACCGGCAATGCCTCTCTACCTGAATTTCAGTGGGGCTACATCATAATTCACGAGCAAGAAAAACTCATCTCACTCCTTCAGATTATGTTGTATCAAAGCTCTACGCAACTAATTCATTCAGATCAACTGAATCCAAAGACACAGCAGAGCTTAAAAACAAACTTCCTCCCTACTTCCAGGAAGGAAAATGCCCTGAAATGTTTAATTCGATGCAACAACAGGAGCATTTATCGTTTTTTTTTTTTTTATTTATTGCGAACTGCATGTACGCATCACTTCGTTTTCAGTAGAAATGACATATTTGTAGTCGGCTACCCGGGTCGTTTTTCCCCGGGCTGAAGAAGGGTGAGACGGGCTCGTCAAAGTACGTGACAAAGTTATAGATGCGTTTCATAGTGACGGCGTCGAAGAAAGTAACGTGGCCCCGGTCGTAATCTAAGAAGACGCCGACACGAGGTGAGTTCCAGTAGTCCGCCACGGGCACGCGCGAGTCTTCCTCGTTGGCGTACAGTCGGTCTTGGAGGCACAGGCTCCAGTAGCCAGCGGAGGGCGAAAGGTTTACAAAACCTTTGCGGTTGCTGTACTCAGTGGTGACGCCCAGATACCAGACCCCCTTGTCCCGCACATCCACCTCCCAGTAGTGCTGGCCGCTGGAATACTGGGCGGTGGCGAGCACCCCGAAAAAACGAGTGAAGCGTTGCGGCATGTCGGGCTCCTGGGAGCGTACGCGGCCCTCCTCCACCTTGGTGTCAAAGTCGCTGATGGTCAACGAGGGGTGAGCGGTGTCTAAATCTAGAGTCAAATTCTGAGGCACTGGAAAACAGGGAACATCTGGTTAGCCGTTTCGTCATGTCAACTTAACACTCTCAACAAATCACCACATCTCTCACATGGCAAAATTTTGTGGGCAAACAAAAGGTTCATTGTCTATTGACGACAGTGTTGCGATGCATGAAGCAACGTTCACACAGAAGCCATTTTCAAATCAAGCAGCTTTCTGTTGGTCAACGTGGGGATTTTGCTTGTGTGGGAAAATGACTAGATTTCACCCATGAAAATTTGCCCATGGTAAATGCGGCCGCAACAAAAGCACTCACTTGTGTGTAACACGTGCATCATCTTCTTCCACATGATGAGCTGAAAGGGGCCTGTGAACTCGGAGAAATCTGGAGGAGAGTTAGAGGCCTGGACGCCGAGGTTGACGTGGCAGGGGCTATGAAAAAAAAACACATTGTGAGAGATAAAACCCTAAAAATACATTGATTTTTAGCAGGGCAGATCTAGCTAACAGGTTAAGAAATTAACAAATTGACATACCTCAAGTATGAATTACTGATACTCTGGAGGGGGGGGGGGAAAAGTTAAATGTTAATAATGTCCCACAGTGAGAACTGGAAGATATAGAGTCACAATTACAAAAAACACTTGCAATTTGCACAATATAAAGACACAGCGAGATATACTGTCATAATTGTTTTATAAAAAGTCAAAATGAGAAGTAGTCACAATTAAGGTCTGTTTACAGCAAGGACGATACTTGTAATAACTATGGCTAGCTATAAAGTTATAACAATGACAATTTTATGAGAATAGAGACCTCCACAGCTAAAATGATAATTACGGAGGAACAATATTGTAAAAATCACTTCCAGAAATTTTTTTTTCAGCTGATGAATGTCAATTTTCTTTTGCAGCCAATCACAATCCACCTGACTTTAAAGAGCTTAAGCATTTAAAGGAATAGTTGACTTAAAAATGAAAATTCTGTCATCATTTACTCACCCTCAAGTTGTTTCAAACCTGTATGAATTTCTTTCTTCTGCTGAACACAAAGGAAGACATTTTGATAAATGTCGGTAACCAGACAGTTGATGGACCCCATTGACTTCCATAGTATTTTTTTTTCCTATTATGAAAGTCAATGGGGTCCATCAACTGTTTGGTTACTGACATTCTTCAAAATATCTTCTTTTGTGTTCAGCAGAAGAAATTCATAAAGGAATAGTTCACAACCTGTAAGGCAGCATACAACACAACTGTTGGATGATATTTTTTGGATGCTAATATAGTTATTAAATAGCTAATATAATTATCATTCTTGGTGTGAATGGGCCATTTCAATAAATAAAGTTATAAGAATTCACAATTGTCTTATTGTTTTTTTACTCTGAGGCGTAAATGGGCTTCATATTAACAAATGTGCATGTGTGATTAGTGGAATTTTAGTTTATAATATATCAGCTGTTGAATTTCTTCACCTCAAAGTTAGCGCTGTCACTCAGGTGATTTTGAATTTCAGTGATGGCTTTGTCCACTTTCGCTGCCTCGCTCTCCACACGCTTCAGGTTAACATCGATCAGCCCGATAGTGGCCACCGCTTCGGCCTCCAACCTTTCCAACAGATCATCCTTCTCATCCAACAAAAACTGAACCAGGGCGCCGACATCTTCCTGAATCTTCTCCTTCAAGGCTTGTTTTTTAAGCTGTTGAGACAAATGTTTGAGATTCGACATCAGGGCCTCAACATGGATCATAAATCCTCAGCAGGTTATATAACCAACAATTTCGAGTCATTTGTACACAAAGTCAGCGTGGGAACAATCGAGCGTTCATACCTTGACATCAGATCTGGCCTGCTCGTCTGTGCTCTTTACTCTAGTACACATGGATTTCTGCCAGTTCAGCTTGATGAGTCTTAGCTTGAGCTCACTCTGCATATTAAATAAGAGAGAAAACTTTAAACTTGTAGTGTTACAGCACAAATTATTATGCAAGTACAATCAGTAATGGAAGAAATATTTCTGGGAGGGATCTTGTGGACATATATGGACCTTATTACTGTATCAGCAAAGATACAAAATAGTTCAACGCAGGGGTCAACAGTTCCAATAATGAAACTGGACACGAGACTGTGAGGGAGTTTAGCATTGCAGACTTTATCAAAATCTTTTGTGTAGATTTGATTGCCATCAAATATTTGAACATATTTAACCTTGGGCTGTGAACAAGGAGTGTCACAAAGAATCCAAAGGAACAGATAATTCACATGTGTGAAATACGTCACACTTTCCTTGTGGAAGTTTCCAGAAAAGTGTAAGAAATTAACTTCTTGCCCACCAGCCACAGTTACTGATGAAAGCACAATTTTATCAGCCATTTTGATTATTATTATTTTTTTTACCAGCCATTTTGATTTTCCAAATATATTCAAAATTCTAATATATAGGCTAATCTAATAATATAAAAATAACAGAGTTCCACTTAACTTCCCATTCATCTTGTTGGAACCTAATTTAGGTTAACAACATAATATTTGGAATTATACAACTATAGTTAGTTTAAAACTAAAATACGTACATTTTAGCAATATAATATTTTATTAATACACTGCCCAGTCAAAAGGAAAAAAGTCACTGTTTGGATTTAAATAGGCAAAAGTCTATGGATCATTATTTCAGTAATTATTGTTTCTAGCATGTTATAATAGATGTTTGGCAACAGTTCTTCTAACCTGAATTGATGAAGTGTGTAGCTTTGAATTTCTTAAACATCTATGTAGGAAGACACATCATGGTCATATTCCAGGATGGCAATGTCATGATTCATCAGGCTCAATTTGTGAAAGAATCATTTTCACACATGAATTGGCACCTATGATCCAAGACCTTAAATTCATAAGTCTTTGTGATGTCCTGGAGTAGACCAGAAATTTGACCAAAAATTGATGTGATGTTATTTCCATCAAGAGGTGCATCAATGTTTGGTCAAGATCTTGTATTGACAATGTCAAGCACTCTGTGAAGTCTACTCCAGCACATCCCAACGACTTTCAACTTAATTTAAGGTCTTGACTCAGAGCAGAGGTGTAAAAATGATTCTTCATGCTCCCTTCCAAACATTCTTTCATAATTTGAGCCTGATGAATCTTGGCTTTGTCATCTTGGAATATGGCCATGATGTGACTTCCTACATGGTTGTTTAAGAAATGAAAATTGGGGTTAGAAGAACTGTTGCCAAACATATAACATGCTAGAAACATAATAATCACTGAAATATTGATCTAGTCATAGACTCTTAAAGATTTGCCCATTTAAATCCAAACATACATCACTTATCCATACTATATACTATTTATCAAAAAAATTAATATACAGTGCTCTACATTCACAATGCACCTCAAAGTGAAATGAAAAAATATGTGAATGCTCAAAATTAACCTTGACCTTTTACCTGAGACTGTGAACATAAATAAAATATTAAATCTCACAGGCTCACAAACATCTGTGTATCAGCCACAGTGGCTAGACGAGAAAAATGACCTGCTGTTGTGCAAAAAGTACCCGCATTTGACAGGTGTTAATTTCACACCCTGTTCCGAACACTGGTTCTAACAATTGTCTCAACTTCTGAAAACAACGTTAAGACTGCAAACAATGCCTATGTGCTTCTTCAAGACATTTAAAGGCTGTCTGTGTTTGTTAAATAAAAACACTTAAAGTGCTAAATCCCACATGTACTATCCAGCACTACGGTGACAGACACTTTCTTTGTTCTATCTCCAAGGTTGGCCAAGAAACAACATCAACGGTTTCTAGTGCCAAGTCAGACATTTAGACAAAGATTAACAGGAAGTAGGACAAGAAGAGAGGAAAAATAGACACCACAAAAGAGTGCTAGAAACAGAAAGGCTAATAATTACACAAAACCAACAAACTCTGAGGAAAAAAGTAATCTAGAACAAACCTTCATGTCTTCAACAACCTCGGGTACAGGAGCAACATCATGGTGTCTAGAAAAAGAATAAAATTATGTATTATGTTTATTTTCTAAGACCATTTTATTTAAAAATTTTACAACAAAGAGCATTGGTCCTCAGACAGTGGCCAATGCATCATAACCGATTGAGCTGACAAATTATACAGCATAGTCTGGTGTAGTCTAGGTAATGGTAAGTTGAGACAAGCCGCGGTCTGTGCCTGAATGTGGGGTCCACTGAGAGCCTCACATAGACAGTATGGAGCCTCACCTGTGCGCTCTGGATTCCCGACACACCACGCAGATGGGCTTTCTGTCCGTGTGGCAGTACAGTTTCAGTTCCTCGTGGTGTCGCTCACATTTCCCGTCCATTTTCACGGGTTTTGCGGGTGCAGAGGGCCTACACGTCTTCAGGTAATCGAAGTCGCTCAGTTTATCCACCAAGTTCTTTACCAGGTAGTTCTTGGTGAAACTCATTTTTGCGAACACCTGCAAAAAAGGACACCGTTTCATGTACGACGCAGAAAAGTATTGGTGCTGCACTGAGAAAACGCTCGTGCGGCGATTTGTATCTTGTGATTCAATAAACGTGGTCGGAGTAATCACACCTAATATTAACAATATAGTAAAGTACGGTTATTATTTAAACTGTCGGTTTGAGACACTCTGCATGATTAAGACGCAAATGTATAACGTTATAAACCCGTTATGTGCATTTAAGCAGCTGTAGCTAAGCAACCCAGGATGTAGCTAACAGTTACGTTTATCAAAACAAACCACGCACCATCCTACACTCCGGACACTGGTAACCAACATCATCGCCTCCATTTTCCTCCCAGTGCATCAAAATGCACATGCGGCAGAAATTGTGGCCGCATTTTAAAATGACAGGGTCATCGAAGTAATCGAGGCAAATAGAACAGACTAATTCCTTCTGAAGCTCTCCCCTCGAATCTCCGGCAGTGGCCATGTTTCCCCAAGCAACAGTGTAACTGTTTTTCAGGGCTAGAAGCGAATCTGGACGGAAGAGAGAGAGCCCATTCTGGACTCACTTCCTGGTCCACTCACGTGGGGGTCCAGTCAGTGGCAATTCTGATTGGTTATGTAGTTATCTAGCCTTCTTGCGCGAATCGGTTCTTTCGAAGAGGTTCAGCATATTTTGTCACCACTTAATTAATTGCGCCATTAATATTAAGAAATACATTTAAAAAAAATTCTAATAACCCTTTACAAAATGAAAAGAAACTGTAAAATGTTTTGATTTCCTTATAAAACTTAAGAAATAGGAATAGGTCTGATGTGTTCAGCTAACCATGCAAATTGACTGTGTATGCCATTCATCTGAATACATATTTTGTTTTCAATAAAAAAATACATAATTACACCATTAAAAAGTCATACGAGCACATTTAATACGATTTTATTCAACAAAGTGGCTTGTTGTGCTTATGTTCTGAGATGTATCCAGATTGAGTTTGTTTGGTGCTGCCATGAGCCAATTTACACTTACATCCGAATATTTCATTTTGTTTAAGCAATTTCTGCACCAAAACAATTCAATTAAATTCCTCTATAACTATGAATTAAAGGGTTATTAGTTTATCCAAAAATGAAAATGCTGTCATCACTGACACACACACTCACCCTTATGTTGTTCCAAACCTGTATGAATTAATTTCTTCTGTTGCACACAAAAGAAGATATTTTGAAGAATGTTGGTAATCAAACAGTTTCATGGTTCCCATTGACTTCCACAGTAGGAAAAAAAATACAATGAAAGTCAATGGCTACCTTCAACTGTCTGGTTACCGACATTCTTCAAAATATCTAGTTTTGAGTTCAGCAAAACAAAGAAAGTCACACAGGTTTGGAACAACATGAGGGTGAGTAAATGATGACAGAATTATCATTTTTGGGTGAACTATCCCTTTAAGTACAACTGAACAGAACATTGTCGGCACAGTAATACGACTTTCAAGTTTTAAGACTTAGTTTATTTTGTGCTTCAAGGCCCAGTACATAAAAATGCTTTTAGCATTGGAAATATTTAGCCGTGAACCATGTACAAAAACACAATATCTCACCATAAATACCATTTCAAACATAAAGAATATTTCATTGTGCCCAAAATGTCATGCTCATGTCTGTTAATCAGCCTCACAATCCTCTGTGAAAATGGAAACAATCCCACCGATTTTATTGCATAGCACATTTCTTTTTAAATATTATCAGCCTGATGAGGAATATATTTGTCAGGAGGTGAAATGAATTTGACAATATGATGCTGGTTTTTCATAGATCAGTTCTAGACTAATAAACACGTGGAGATGTTTTTTAAATGCATACACAAACGCTTGAAGTGTCAAAAATGTGATAGTTAATACAAAAGTGGAGCTGGTCTGGAAAAAACAACTGCAAGAGATTTGACTGCGAAACACAGGGAAAGACAAATGTGGAAATCGGAGGGATTTCCGGTGTCACAGTTTTTAAGTTTAAAACAACACTCAATGAGATAAGACGGCAATATTTAATGCATGCGGCTCTCATGAATACTAACGCTTAAAATGATATAACAAACAAATATTAATAAAAACAGCAGCAACAAGATGAAATTTGACAACATCTGACAGACAATGTAAACTTTCGGACAACAACTATTTGACAGTTTGATATGAAATGCATATTCAGCATTTCTCCATTGAGAGCTTGGCACTTGCTGTTAAAAACCAGCATATATGTAAAACACACTGAGCAGTTGATAAAAGAAGTCATATTCTCCAAAGACATCACATATCCCAAAATACAGTAGCCAATGCTGTAATACAAGTAAATATTTAATACTTGAGATAAAGGTGAAATACACAATACCAGTGTCAGTGTTGTGATCAGTTCATTTGAGTGCACCATTTCATTTCATTAACGATTCTCAGATCATGTATTTTTCCTTTCAGAAACGTATTTTTTTGTAAATGCCTCTTTATTATCAACACAGCGGTAGATATAGTAAAGAGAGGGGTTCTCAGAGGGAGTCTCTTTAAAATGTAGACTTTTGATGAACTTTCATAACTTTGAATAATCACTGTGTATGTGCTATAGAAATACACAAAAGATTGTATTAGTAACGAATTAAAGGTTGGATAGAAATAATTTACATCAGGGTAATAGAGATTCTTTCTTTCTTTCTTTCTTTCTTTCTTTCTTTCTTTCTCATTAATGATTAAAAAAATTATTTTGGTATTTCGGAATTTAATGGAAATAAAATGGAACCAAATGAGCTCCCGTTTCTGTTAATAAATTAAATTTCTCAAAGGATACATTTGTTTATTTGTTACAGTTATTTAATTGATTTTATTTTATTTTTAATTGATTTTAAATTGATTTATTTGAATTGATTTTAATGTCAATTTTTTTAACCACATGTCACCTGGCACACCTCAACAATTAATTGCTGGTCGAGCAAAATTTAGAATCAAAACATACAATGTCACTTGGCCATGGCATGAGGAGTGGATGGCGATTTCTTTGGGTTGGTGATGAACTGGGTCGTGAGATCTCTGTAAGATAAAACCTGTGAGAGGCACTTGTTTAAAACAAAGAAAACAAAACAAATGGATCCGATGAATGACTAAGGAGAACAGCACAGTCTCCAAGTAGTCCCATTAGTCCTTCAGACCTCCGAGCTGTCTCCATTATCAAGGCTACATCGAACTATAACAGGCTGCAGGCTGGACGAGACACTTGGGGCCTTTTTTGCAGGTGTCCGCCTTGAGCGAACCATCAGTGCCAACACTACACCCACGAGGATGGTGAGCAGCAGTCCCACGAGGACTCCCGCCACCGTTACCACGTCCTCTTTGGCATCTCGCCCACTGAGCTCCCGTGGAGACAGTCCATCCGCGAACAGCTCCTCCCCGGGCGCAGAACGCCGTTGCCTGCGGTCCAGAGCGACGCGCATGATATTCGTTCCTCGGTTGTTGTCGGGTCCGATCTCCTCCGCCAGTATTGGGACGTCTCTGTTGGACCGTCTGGAGCGTCCTCTGGCCTCCGCTCGTACGAGGTCACCTGATGTTATTGAGTTGTACTCCACACTTCGCTTGCCAATGCCACGCTTGGCGTTGTCTTTTGAACGCACAGTGTAGATGGTGTGAATGAACCACTCTCTCCCGACTGCCACCTACAGAACAGAAGGACAATAGAGGATTTCATCAAGTCATGCTGATTGACCTATTAAATGACAGGAATCCAGCATGTGATGTCACAGATGTGCAGTACTCCAGTGTATGTAATCACACCATAACTAATGAAGGTTTAAAAGGATTAGACCTGGAAAAGGGGAGTAGAATCCAGTCTGAATCCGTCAGATCCTGGCTGCTTCACCAGAGAGAGGGCAGAGGGGTCATCTACAGCCAGCTGGGCTTTGAAACCCATGTCCCCAAAACTCTTGGCCTGAGTCTCAGGCTGGGCTTTGTCCTAGAAGCAAGGTGAAGTCATGGGACTTTTATTAGACAAACTGTACAAATTTTAGAAAAAAATTCTTTAAAGAGACCACTTTAAAGAGTATATAAGTTAATGTATTTCAATTATATTATGCAATAAAAATGTATTAAAATAATATTTAATTTGTTATAAAAATAAAATATAAACAAATTATTTGCATGGATTTTATTTTGAAGATTAATATATAGTTATTTTGGTATTATTTATAAACTATTATAGTATTTATTCATATTTTAATCATTTTTTAATATTAATATTTAGCTTTAATTTATATTTATTTCAGTTTTTGTTTTAATCATTTTAAACTTAAAAAGCTGTAAAATTTGAAATTTTGCTTTGGCAATTAACTGAAACTAAAATAAGTTTTCAATCATTTTTTTATAATATTTTTTTAATTATTTAATTTATTTCCGCTTTATTTTAATTTATGAGAATTCTTTTCATTCTTTTTTGTTTTAGTTGACAATAACAATACTGCTAACATACTCACAATAATTTTGAATCGGTAGAGCAGGGAGGGAGAGTCTGCAAGGCATCCAAACTCAGATTTGGCGGGGTTGTATTTAGGAACATATCCGTCAGCTCCGGTGCACAGATACACCTTTTCGATGTTACAGTAGAAAGAGTCCCCTAGGTTCTGCACAGGGTCCACCATCACTCGTCCATAGATTGTGTCGCCTTGAGGAGAACAAGCTCAGTGTCAGTATAACCCAGAACAGTAACTTAAACAACCTAGATTTTTACACGTTCTGATAAAAACATAATTGATATTTGTCCGTCCAAAACCCGCTGTCATGCCATACAATGCTAGGGTGTTGCTATATGTGGTCGTTCATGTGGTTTTCAGTGCATTGCTAGGTGGTTCCTATGGAGTTCTGGGTAGTTGCTAACATTCAAGCAATTACATACCTACATTCGCTTAAAGAAATAGCCTCTTGAATTGATTAAGTTATACAGTATGTGTTCCAGTAGACATACCCGCAGAGAAAGCCGCATCACTCTCCTGACCAAAACCCATAGATCCATCTGACAGCCACAACGCCTTCTTAGACAACAGGAACATCTGTGTGTTTAGACTAAACTCCACAGCGACAGGGTCACTCACCTAAACAAGTAAAGACATGAATGCTTCTTTAGTAGAGCTTCAGGATTAGATACAATATATTACAAATACACGTTTTTTTGATATAAAAGTAACTAATTATATATATATATATATACACACACATACAGTACACTGGATTTTTCCCTCATTAATACACTTTTCTTCTATTACAAATTATATTATAAACACAAGTCGAGTGAGCATTTGAAATAAAAAATTTACATGAATTTGACCATTTATTTTAAAGACGGAGGAATTTTTTAGTTTTTTTAAGTTTACCTGTTGGAAGCGGATGTCAAGTTCAAAAGTGACGGGCTCTCTAGGGTTGCAGACCGGAGGAACGGTGTACTCCACATTCAGCGCTGTTGTACAGGGGATCAACTTCACTGTGTACGTGC